TCGGCGTAATCAGCGGGCTGCATGGATCTGTTGATTCAGGGAACGCCTCTATTGCACTTAGATTATCACCACATGATAGCGAACGTTTCCTGCAAGTACTGAACGCATGAATCCAATAAATAATAGACAATTGTTTATCCTACTCAAATAGAACAATTACATTCGATCAGTCAAACTTAATTGCTTCCAAACTTCTCAAACAATTGACCTCTCGAGACAATCAGCTTCTCTGACCTTTCCAAAACATTACCAAACTGCGAAAACAAACAAATTTCGATCATAATCCTCGTTCATGATGCATCTATTCAACTCTAACGATAACTGATCTCTATAATTCACCAACACATAGTGACAAGTGAACAAACAACTAACAGATACATAAAGGATTGTATAAAACAATTCGAACTAACCTAATAACACTTGACGTATCACCGTCTTCTAAAACGTTGAAGAGTGGCTGCGTGCCGGTCGCATCGAAATACAAATCTCCACTGTCTTCGAGCAGATGATGCTGGTGGGACTTGAGCAGTTGAGTTTCATCTGCATTTGACATGGCGATGATTGAGGGATGTCGCGATGCAGATTCTGCATGATTTTGACATTCGTCTATCGTCGGAATTTCACTGCCAGGCAATGACATGGAACGTTTCCTAAAGGAAAACAACGGCTGACAAAAGAGCCAAGTATTGCTTGCAGTTCAACATCTTAAACAATGGAATGTTTGAAAATTTTTCTGAACACAACATGAAACATGAGCAAAAGACAAGAAATGAAATGATTTCACTGTCACAGGAATTCAATCGCTCGAGCGCGTTGCTTCAGAGATTTACGATAGCCGAGAAGTTGAGAGGACTTCGGAACAATCTCACAGATCAACTCGGACTCAGTTTCGGTTAATGCTTCCATCAAAACTATCGTTTCATGCATAACTGCTTTCGCACATGATGGCTATTGACTAGGGCTGAGCTGAAGAAGCGACAAAGCAGAAGAAACTTGTTAAAATTGATTTTTACAAAAACAAAAGAAAAGTGATGTGCAATGCAAAACATATAGTAATTTAAGCAGAAGAAAAGGCGAGAAGGCGTTAGCAGCGGTAATCAACTGACCTAACTGTGATGCCTAGACCACCCCAACTTGAACCGATTCCGCTGCCAATTCCGCAAATAGCATTTTTTTGCACTAGCTGATTACCATAACGACTGAAATTTTGTTAAAATGCAAGCCGGGTGCAAGTCAGATGACAAATGAGTCATGAAGCAAAAGTTTTGGACAATAAAATGTGCACATCGATTAAATCGTTACTGAAGCAAACTTGGAAATGTTAGTTAGAGTGCCAGAAATATGGCGAATATATCATACGAATATATCTGCTGCAAACCTCGACTGCTCCAGCAGTTTGTCCACCTTAGCAGAAGATCGAACAAGTTCAGAAAGACTGAGACAGTTCAATTTTACAATTTTTTTCGATTTTAGTCACGTTTCAGATTGAGGCTTAATTTAGTCGCATTCAATCAATTCTCTGATCCACTATCTCGGACAGAACAGAAAATATTTCGCCTACAGCGTTCGAAGTGTCAAGCCGGCCGATTGATCGAATTTTTTTTCAAATTGTCGGTAAGACAATGCCAACAGAAATGGAATATCTCAAATGAACTGAAAACGACAAGATTACCTGCCGGAATTCGATGAGGAGTGCTCTTCGATCAAGTCGAACAACTCCCTGGACGAATTGGATATTGAGACGAGTCCGCCATTTTGCTGTGAATATGTCACTTCGGCCAACGGCGTGCGACATGAGGCTCGCTCAACGATTCGTCTCAACAACGATGGCTCTTTGTTGCCCAGAGATATCGATGAGCCACGATCGATCGCTGAATTCATTCAGAAATTACCAATAAATCATTGCATTCTATCAGTTTTCGAAAGAATTTCACCAAGCATGGATTTGAATCAACAGAAATGGTCTCAACGATATTGTCGTTAAATCAGTTTTCAGTACATCATTCAGTATGACGAATCAATCGGCCACTATTGCATTTACATAACAATCGCTATGCTACGATTCATTACTAGATAACAGAGTCCGAGATGAACCTCGTAAAGACAAGTCTGAAACATTCAAAATGAATGCAAAACTCACCCCATGATGAAAGCCGATTCCGAGCTGGATTCCTCGGGAATATGTCTGGCGCTAACCGTTCCTCGATCAAACTACATTCATCGTCAACCGAAAAATCGTAATTGTTTCGTCCTGTTAACCAAAACGTTCGCATAATACCTTTACCCTGAAATCAAACTGTGAACTATTTCTCTTATCATCTTATAAGTTAAACTTGAAAGAATTGATATTTAAAATGCTGAAGAAAACGAACGCTCACTTTCATTTGCACATTTCAACATTTGATAACTTGAGAGCTCTTCTTCAGAATGTTGATGATTAGAAATAAGAAAGAGAATAAGCGTTTTGTTTAATGAACCATTAGTTAAATAAGTTATGTTTAATGAATATGTGCTTAATGAATCATTAAGAAATATGTTTAATGAATCATTGATTAACCTTTATCTGCAACAATCCACGCTCTTGCAATTCGAAACCATCGATATTGACGAGAACGTTTCGTGACTGCTCACTGCAGTGAACTTTCAACGCTGCAAATGAAATACGCCGCTTACTACCAGAAAATTGACTTTAGCATAGCAAAAGTTCGAAAACTCTAACATATAATTTCAAGATGCACTATCTGAATTTCATTTCAAAAAACGGAGAGATAAAAAGAGTGAAAATAACGTACGCAATCCATTGCTTTCCATTCTCGACGCTGTATTCACAGTATCTCCAAACAAACAATACCTTGGCATTGTTTTGCCGACAACACCAGCAACACACGGTCCTGTATGAATACCAATTCGAAGTTTCAGTTGATCGTCGGGTCGATGTGGAATCCGGAAATTCTTCACGGCTGCCAACAAATGCAACGCCATCATTGCGATTTGCTCAGCGTGAAATTCGAGAGCTTGCGCTTCGGGAATACCCGATACGACCATGTACGCATCACCAATGGTTTCAACCTGAAGCGATTTGCTAACATTCACCCTTCTTTGCACATGACTCTGATCTGGGTCATTGAATGATCATCGTTGTGAATTGAAAGTCTGTGAATCTGAGCGAAAATTGCGGTTCACAAGCTTGAAATTTGGAAAATTTTATCTCAAAAGTTGAAGGATATATAGAAGATCGATACGAATAGCAGGTCAATATGCAAGTAATTCAACACACCATCAATCGCTCTCTCTATTATTTCTCCACAATTACACTTACATGATACCTTATCAATAAAAGAAAGTTATCTTTTGAAACTAGATATCTTATACCTTAAAAAGTTTCAACATTTCCTCAAGTTCTATATCTAAGTCTCTGAATCGGTAGTTTTCATATACTTCATAGAGCATCATCCAATATCAGAGTGAATATAAATTAAAGAAATCAAAACAATAACAGCGAACAAAACGATAACATTGGTAATGTCATTCAGCATTTCAAAGTCCGAGACTACATTCACAACAACAATCAAGATTGCCAAAAACAATCCAATTATGGTTCCAAGCATTTTTTAAAGCTTCAAATATGGTTTACGTGGTTTCAAGTTCATATTTTTGCACGAACCTTATAAACATTGTACTGTTTGATGATATGATCGAATAGAGTGTAGAGTTTATTCAGGAATTCAACAACTTGCATCGGTGTAGACTCTCCAGAGATGGCCGTGAAACCAACGATATCCGAGAAATAGATTGTGACCGATGGAAATGACTCCGGCACAACGTCTTTTCCAGCTAGCAGTTGCTGAGCTACCGTTCTGAAACAAACAGAAACTTTTCATAGGCACGCCAGCAAACTTGAAAAATCTCCCTTGTAAAAAAGTCGGAAAATTTTCTCTCAAATTGCTCGTCACTATAAAAAATATCTTCAAATGAGATTGTCCAAATCCTCCAATCCAACTACTCATGTGGAAGGAAAAGGTGTTCGTGAAATTGCGATTGGAACAATTTCAGAATGAAACTCTCACATTGGTAACATTCTTTGTAAAAGATTTTCGCTTCTTCGTTTTTCATCTCTCAATTCGGCTGTCCGCTCTTCAACCAAATCTTCCAATTGATTCTGATATTTCTCCATCATCAACATCATATGATCCTGAAATTTTTTCGAATTCGAAAACCTCATTCAAACTTCATTCAAACTTTATCGTCAACAAGAACGGTTATCAAAGAACGACGATATAAATGCTAATTGCGTCTTTTTTTCACTTAAGTATGGATAAACACATCGATCAATAAAGTTAAATTTATCACCGTACCATTATATTTTGTTTGTAAATAGGCGCAAACATTGGTTTTAGTTTATGTCTGATTGCATTTCGGAAATCCGGTCTACTGTCCACGTTTTCAGCCCAACACAGTGTCATCGTATCAGCGATGTAATTGGCCACAGAAATGCCCTCTAGTGAAGGTCGATAGTTGTTGTCTTCCATTACCCAATGAACAACCTCTGCAAACAACAACAATCACATTCATTTTTATCATTTCACCATTAACACCACCTATTACTATCAATAGATTACCATTCGTATCTATTATTAACATCAACCTCATCATTGGAATATATAACACTACCGCTACTAGGATTATTTTTTCATCTTATCTTGAATCTATTCTGAAACGTGCCCTGCTTTGAATATTAACAATCACTTCTCAATAAATCTGTAATACTTTCAATCAAAATATTCAGGAACTAACCTTCAGCCTTGATCTCATCGTTTTCGATCAACTGGAATGGCCCTTGTCTGGTGATCATCTCATGTAAAACGATACCAAACGAGTAGACATCACCTTTTTGAGTACACTTCACCGCTCGTGTACACTCACATTCTCTTAGTACTTCAGGTGCTGTCCACAACTATCTTTCCCACTGAAAGCAACAATTATATCGTTTTTAGGACCGATATCATGAGGTTTTCGACAAATTATACAGGTTTCGCTATACAAATAACTGAGAAAAAATTCAAACAGATGGATGCCTTTTGCTTTTAAGGAATATCATTGACAAACGTGCCCTATATTAAATATTAACAATCACTTCTCAATAAATCTGTGATATTTCATAATCGAACTAAAATTTTTTACGATCGGCATAAACTCGTAATGAGTTGGATTTGCTGATAAAATTAAACAAACTAAACAAATTTGCTGATCAAAATTAAATGAATCACAAATTCAATCTTCAAAAAATGATGTCTGCGTAATTATGCTCGAATTATAACTGCATAATCATGACAACAACTGGATAATCATAAAGATAAAGAAGCACTGATATCAATGATTCATTGTGAAAATTAAATGAATAGCATTAATTAGCTCACCTTATACAGTTCATATTGAAGCACTTGACTGTTGACCTTTGACGAACGTAACAAAAAACGTTGCAGTACAACATAGTGTTGCAATAAAAACAATATGAATCAACACAATGACCTCTTCCACG